TCTCTCTCTCTCTCTCTCTCTCTCTCTCTCTCTCTCTCTCTCTCTCTCTCTCTCTCTCCATTCTTTCTTTCCTGCGTCTCTATCTCTCTCACTCCTTCATTCCGACGGATGTGTTTGGAAAGAATGGTCCGCATTGTATTTGTGAAGTTGTGTTGTCCACTGTTATATCGAGTCATGTACAGGGGAAACGCAGATGTACAGTAATAAATAACAATGTATGTTGCCACGTACATATAGCCAATCTTTGGTAGGCGTCCGCTGACAACAACTATGGAAGTAGTGAGGGTCTGTCTCTGCCCCTCTCTCTCTCTCTCTATCTATCTATCTATCTCTCTGTATTTCTCCGTATGTACATATATTTCCAGATGTCAAGATTGACAAAAAAGAGACAGAAGAGAAAGTCAGGCGAAGAGTGTGATGCAACGGCGGATCACTTTCTACTACAAGGGGCTAAAAAAGAAAAGACGACTGAGATGGACCGGAACTGGGGTCAGATAGTAGAGAAGCAGCGAGAACATATAGACAGGCTAACAGACGAGGTACATAAGCAGAAACAATTGGCGAGACAAATGTTAGACGAACTAGGCCGTATTAAGTCACTGCTCGTAGAAATGACAGAAACTGCGGAACACAGGATGTTCACCGTATTCTGGCTGTTACTATCCGATCCAAAGTGTTTAAACATAACTCGTCTGAGGGAGGACATGACTGTCAGACTGAAGGCAATAGCTGAAACGAAGACCACCACGTTTGACGAGTTCCGGACATGGTTGGATGGTGAAAGCCGCAGGCGCACTGCGGTCTTGAATCGGTTCGCCGCCCACGTCACAAAGAGAACTCACAGGGAATCACAAGGATTTGATGTCGCATCTTGTGGCAGCCCTGAGAAGTGTGTGCTGAAGGAGGGGTGGGCATCGTATGATAGCCAAGAATATAACACGGGTTCGCTAACTGCTTCATCACCCAGTGTCGTCGACCTCTTGACCTTCGCAGCAGACTGTATTCCCCACTGTAAGAAAACTGTAGACGAGTACGGTCTCTGTGATGAGGGTGTCGCGATTGCTAAGGATGACCTTTCTCGCAATATGACGTCTCTGTTGAACAGTTGCTCGGACGTCATTGATGCCCTGCAACACACATGAGGTAGGTTGTTGGATGGATAAATGACGGTGACTTGTGCGAACGAAGTTGTCATGGGAAGTGCATAAGGTGAAAGGACGAAGGCAGGTGAAGAAATCGACACAACAATGCAAACCTCCATAGGAATTGAGACCACTGTCAGGGACTGCGCACCTGCGCCGCATGCCCTGCTGGCGTGCACCGATGTTGCCGCATTGAATTGTCACCACGTTCGTCACAACTTCCCATGTGTCGTTGCTAGCAAAGCACCTTGTGCTGATGCAGAATCTGTTGCGCTGCCTATGACGACGGACACATTTCAAAAGTTCGTTGCAAAAGTGAATTCCCGACAAATGGTGAGGCTGGTTGCGGACTGTCTGTTCCATCTCATATCGTACATCAAAGAGATAATGGTACAGGTCGTAACGAACGCAGACCAGCATGGAGGGAATA